GGGGGTGGTTCCCGGCTGTGTGAAGTGTCCACAGAGCTGTGAGAAGAATGACCAGTGGTGTGCTTTCATTATCAATCACAGAGGTGTGTGACAAGAGAAGAGTGGAGCAGCGAAGTTCAACAAGCACAGAGAGCTGTACATTAACAAGAACAAAAGTCATAAGCCTTGCTGGTGGCTCCGTGGGTTTGTACTCAGGCACAGTGGCACAACCCTTATTAGGGCCCGAGCAGCAAAGGCCACAACATGCGGCGGTGGTGAAAATGTACATATTCTAATGGCAAAATGGCTTAACTACGCCCCCTAAACTCAGGCCCTAAGACATGTTCCACTGATTTTGTGCGAGAGCCCGATCATCGCTGCTTGCAGCTTTAATTTTGATTCTGTTTTTAAAACTCTCCACTGTGGCCCTCACGCGTCCAGCTGCGACAAACCCGCCAGAGCTGGTGGCAGCACATTTGTCCATTAGATGTCCACTTCTGAAATGCTCCTGGTGGGACATGAAGCTGCGTGCAAGGCGGAACAACATCGCGGACAGGACGTCGTAGAGCCACCCCCAGTGGAATCAAGGCGTGACTCCGACAATAAGAGTGCAACGCCCAATTGGGCAAGTACTCTTTTAACAAAAATGAAGTATTTTCTGTTCAGCAGCCACTGAGGCATCCTTATGTTATCCATAATAGGCTCTTTACCAACAGTTTGACATGGGTTAGGTTTCTCAGTGAGTGCTCTGTGTGATTCTCCCCTGGAGACATTATATTACATCCATTACTAGATGATTTTGGTCCAAAGTGACTTACAGTCTTTCATATAAATATGGGAGCAGTTTGGGTTTCAGTGTCTTGCTCAAGGACTCTTTGATGCATGGACAGAAGGAGCTCTGGTATCAAATCACCAACCTTTTGATTAACAGCTGATCCTCTCTACAAACTGAGCTACAGCCCCTCGAGACACCGCTTAACTTACTTACTATTTATTCATTTCTGTTATTAATCATTTAAAATAACCACAGTAATTCCACTTTATAAATGTAGTGCTTGCATGCTTAGGCTACTGAAGGGCCAACGAGCAAATGTAAAATCCTTTTCCTTGACAAATATTAATAGTTTCTTTCAGAGAAAATCATCAAAACAGCATATGAAATGAGAAATACAATTGTTCGCTGAATGTATCTGCACTGTGTAATTATTTGAATCACTGAATTAACTTTGTGTTTTTTGCTTTTTGTTGAGTTTATCTTGTTACTTTATTATGTGTGACACATATAATTTTGCCTGTATTTAATTAGTAAAAAACAAAAAATAAAAAATAGTGACACAGATTGTAATTCAATGTATTATGGCATAATTCTGTGTAATGCAACATATGACAGTAACGCAATTTTCTAAAGGTCAGTATCTAATGTCATTTCTAAAATCAAACAGGGGAAATGAATGTGATTACAGTAACATCACCTCATTTTTAAGTGTGTAAATATTTAAAATGGGGTTATTCTTGGACAGACAGAGCTTAAACATGGTGGTGCTGCTGCTGTGATTGTATGTTCTTCACCACATCAGACGTTGTTAAATGTCACATTAGAAATCAGTGGACAACTCGATGTACTTTGGCGGGGCCCCATAACAACAGTGTAATAAAAAGTGACAGTGGAAGAGGTATGTAATGCGAAAAAGTGAAACTGTTGCAGATGCCACAGATGTGAATACTTTTCTCTGCCAGCCAGCTGGTCTGTGTGCGTGTGTGTAGTGTGTGTGTGTTTACTCACTGAGGGTCTCCACAGTGATGATTTCATCCTTGCACAGGCGCTGGCAGGTCTGGTTGTCTGCGAGGCGTCCTGAGTTGAAGAGCCGGCACTCGATGCACTCCCTGAAACAGAGAAGTACCACTTACATTCAGGTATTTGAAAAAAGGCTTCCATTAGCTTTATTCATGAGCGAGGAAGCACTAATCTACACAAGGCCTGCACAGTCTCCTAAATTTGTTGTTTTAATGCCGTTTGTTATTTTTACTCTGGGTGCGTCAGCTGTCAAAAATGCCCCACTGCGCTCCCTTTAAACACTGGAAGTTTCCCTGCAGCAGACTGTAAGCAGCTGAACAGCAGGTGAACCATGCAGTGCACAGAACAAATAAACTGCCGCCGCTAAATTCAATTAGTGACATTTCAGTTAGCGATGCAGGAACTTTAGCAACATTTTACAGATGCATTATGTTTGTTCATTTCAAATTATATAAAAAAAAATGTATTGAGTAAGTTATGTCCCCACCCACGTAAACACACACACAACAGGACAAGATAAAGAAAAAAGTGTTTCTTAAAAAGGAGGGATGCTGGGTGATTTTGTGGCTCCACTCATTCTTCATAGCTTCATAAATTAAGCTCCATATCTTGTGAAATTGTTTCTCTGTGTTACTGTCCTTTGAGATCGTCCTTTCAATACTCTAAAAATTTCTGAATCCACATAAAAAACAGTCCCTTTTTCTTAAGCTTTTTTCTTAAGCTTAAGCTAAGTTTGCATAACATGCTATTTATCTGTCTTTAAGATATCCAGCTAATTAAACATAAAGTTAAACATAAATCCGAGAGTGGAGGTTACAAACTGTAAAAAACAACAATGCAAATTGGTTTCTACTGAGAAATGCAGAGGCATGCATTTCTTGCTCTAAGTAAGAGTAAAAATTTTGGCTGCTGCTTAGCTTCAGTTCATCTATCAAATACCATCTAACTGCTCATAACCGTTATCTCTGAATGTCTGGTCAAGGGTGAAAGGTTGTTCCATAAAGATCTCGGAAAACTGGAGCCATGTGTATGTAAGGAGGCCTGTTGGGAGGACACAGCGGTTATTTCTGTACTCACACAGGACCGTTCTCTTTACATATAACAACGACTTCAGAGAGCCAGAGCTGCCACACTGAGTGATGCAAGTTCAAACGGCGGGGGCAACCGTTTCATTTCTTAGGGTCGCATATGGCATGAGAGTTATCTAACAACTCTCTTATGACTTCTTCATCAAAGCTGAGTTAAGTCGGTAAGTGAGTGAGTTATGTGAGGGTTAGGGCTAGACTCTAGTTTTGGACTTTATGTGTTTGATGGTTTGACCTCCTCCCTGGTTGGCTGACAGCGTCTCATCACAGAAGCAGATTCCTGAGGTCAAATACCTGCACCTTGTTTCAGTTTTTTTCCCGACAATTTTGTCTCCCTGAGTGGTGTGAAGTGCTCATTGCAGTGCGGTGTAGACTTTACCTTTTAGTGCCACAGGCATCAGGGCAGGTGGGGCACTTTTCACAGGTATCCCCGAAGGCCCCTGGCTCAGTGCACTGACAGCGGCCACACACACAGTTGCCCCGCCCGCTGCACATCTTCCCGTCGTCCGAAATGCACGACGACGTCTCGGTGGAACAATTGCAGTTGTCGCCGATGTAACCGGCATGGCATTTACACTCCCCGCAGTGACACTCTCCATGACCTGGGCAAGAGAAGAACAACAAGGAAGTAAGCACTGGTCACTCTATGGGAGAGGTAGAATCTGCCGCTGTTTAAAATCAATCTGATCTCATACAGTAAATATGATATGAAAAAGATATCTGTGGATTTATTTTATGCTGAAGAGATTAAAAAAAGGGTAGAATGCAAACTAAGAGAAAGATTCATCACCCCATAGACCTAGAAAGGTGATGGATGGGGTTGAGGTCAGGGCTCTGTCCAGGCCAGTCAAATTCTTCCACATCAAGCTGAGATGTAACAGTGCATCTGTCCTAATCATGTCTTTAGTTTTTCCAGACATTTTTCTTAAAATTCCTTTATTTAAGAAAAAAAACAGACACAAAATGTGTGACATAATGTGGATGCAAACACACAGTCTAGTGCTCAACACTGGAGCCCCTCAGGGCTGTGTGCTCAGATTGCTCTAAATTGTTATATTTTTATTGCTTATTATTTATTCACCATCTGTTTAATGTGTCTATATATTGTTTGTTTTTGTGAGTATAATGAACTTGTTATATAACCCTGTGCTGTAAAATGATAAATAAATCTACCTTGAACCTTGAACACACACACATACACACACACAGCTCACAGTTTCCTCTTCCTGAGAGAACAATTTCACCCTCCTTTAAACAACTGAACAACTGGAGCAGCTGGAGCTTTATAGCTCTGAACTAATCCACATCTACTACCAGCACTGAGCAAACTGTCCCTTTTATACCACGCTCATTAGCTTCTTATCTACACTGGAATAAATCCAACAGGAGGCAAGCCTTAAGGAGAGAGCTGTGTGCTCTCTGTTGAAGTTCTGATTTGTCTCGGCCCTCTATGTGCCCGCTCTCCCTCTACCGCAGGCCACTCTAAGACAAGAGGAATCCTTGATGGAGGGAGGACAGCAGCTGTAATCAGGGAAGAATTACTTGACAAGCTTATTTCACAGTACTTGTTCCAAGACCCTCCACAAAGACCATATTCATCGAGCTGCTATCTCATAGGGATAAGGCGCGGACAGAAAGGAGATGGTCGCACTTTATCAAGACAGGCTGCAGGCAGGTCAAATCCAAGAATTCATGCTCTGTGTAAGAACAAATATGCAGAACAAAAGCAGGAAAAAAACCTCTGTACTGTGATGTGTCAGACACGTAGGGCACAACTGCTAAGCTTGAGACCCTAAAAAAAAAAAAAGGGGCTGGTGATGACCCTGTAGCGGCAAAACGGAATTCCCAACTGGATCTGAGCTGTTCTAAAAAAACGGAAGGCCAGCAAAAGTCTCTGGTGTGCATCCTCTATGGGGCATGTGCAGTATGTATTCATCTGGATAATTTCTTTGCAGTGGGAAGTGGCTTTTTTGGCATTAGCATTTTTACATTAGCTAGCTAGCCTAAGATGTGACTATTTGTCGCTTTTATCTTTAAACCATCTTCACAATGTGGTTGTCATTTCAACATAGCATATCTAAGTACAGGAAAGGAGGAAGTTGACTGAAGTTCTGACTGAGTCAAAAAGGGGCGGGACTACAAGGATTGGCTGTTTCTCTTGTGTTATGTGATAGTCAACAAAATATTTTTTGCAATCTAAGCAATTTGAATCATGCTTAAGGAACTTGTGATGGGAATTTTTCACTATTTGGGGATATTTTATAGACCATACAATTAATCACTGAATTAAGAAAACAATAATTCAATTTATTGACAATAAAAATAATTGTTAGTTAGCCCTACATCATTTTAACTTTCAGACAGGTCAGTCATGTTTCAGGGGTTGGAAGACATAGTGGAAAACCAATGAAGACAGACTTCACAGAGGAGAATTTGGGTCACTAACAAATGAAATCACTGTTGTCTATCCAGGAGTGGCTGCTCCTTCTGTCCAACATGCACCCATGACAGTGGGTGGAAGAGAACAATCAGATCATGCTGCCACTCAACCTCAATAACTCAACCTCAGACGCAGTGGGGAAGAAAAACAGAGCCTATGATTAAACCCAGATCCTCAAAGAGGTCACAGAGACTTCTCGAAATCAACAGGAAACATTCCGTCTAATCATCAACTGTGCGGTCAGGGTTGTGCAACATACTGTCTGGACCCACAGACACGCAATAAACTCTTTCTATTTTTGTATTAAGACATCACCCTTCTTAATTATTTAGTGTAGGCTGCAGAACTGTGCATTTTTAAGGTGGAAAAACTGAGACTGATGAAATTAATCTTTTTTGGTTGTGGTTAAGAGTCTGGAGCACCACTCCCAAAGCTCGGTCAATGGAGGACGGCATGACGAGTGGCATGTGGCTGACTCATGGTACCAGCCCTGGGAATGTGTCCTGAAATGACAGCACTGTTGTTCGCACATTCAGATGGCGAGAAGTGAGTTTTCTTTCTGTGAGAGTTTGGTAAGGATAAGAGAAGTGCAAGTGCAGCTGGTTTGACATCGGCTAATTGTTCAACAAGTCACAACGAGCTGCTACCAGGACTGCTGTCTTCAAACACTCTCCTCTGCTCTTTGTGTTTGTGTGAGAGATTATGCATGTCTTGTTCCACAGCTCTTTTCCTTTGGGAAATACATACATAAAATCTTCTTATATGAATAATGGATCAATTGACTATACATGTTATATGTTGATAGAAGTGGCAAACGAAGTATCAGCTCTACAGAGCATTTCAGTGTCGTTTGTATTGAGCATTTGTTTTGGTTTTATGACCCACAACTTTACTGAGTTGGTTCAATTTCACTTCTCTGTACGCTATCTGCCCAACACCAAATAGCAGTAGAGTTAAACAAAAACAGAGCTACAAGGACTGCAAATGAATACAAGCACTGTTTCAAGTCAAAAGCAAGGAGTTAAAGTACTACAACCATAGTAACCGTTTTTAAAATAATGATTTTTTTTTTTTTAACACAATCATATTGGTATTGTATCAGTATTGGGGAAGGAATAAATGGTATCAGAACATCTCTAATTCAGACCCAAACCCAACATCCTCTTATCTGCAAGAAGCCACTTTACTCTGCTAGAATAATTCCCTAAATAAGAGATCCTACTAATAGTATAAGCTTAAGAGTAATAGTGTAGGTTTTATCACTCCATGCGTTAGAGTTGTCTCCACCTTGTCAAATTATGGGCCAGGTACTGGCCTCTTTATCTAGACTCTGATAGCGTTTGGCTCACCGCACCACTCTTGAGATGAACTGGCCTCCTGACAGAAAAGAATACTGGCACTCAACAACGCACAAGCCCTCCGATTACCATCACCATGCCTGAAAACAGATGTTTGGAGCAAGTGTACAGGCCATTTCCCGGCATTCCTTTTAGTTACTGAGCTGCTAAGTCGTTCCATTTCTTTTGGCTGTACTGCTGGGCCATTTTCATTCGCTGCTCAACAGCGAGATTAAACACTGCTCATGATAAACACAGCTGTGGCAGAGGAGGAGATGTGGAATGTGTTCACATCCTTCAGAGCTGTGACCTTCCTCTTTTTCTTGCAACTTTTCCATGATGTTTCTTTAGACATTCAGTCAGCTTTGACAAGCAGCCAAGATGAGGCAAAATGACAAGATCTGTTACATTTTGTGTTTTTAAAAATCAAGAGGCTTCTACACTTAATGACTAAAATCATATTCAGTTTGTTGGCGATTAATCTAGTTTTTAAGAGTAGAGAGAGTAATTTTAGAGTCAAAATAAATTGTAGGCTATACGATAAGGCATAAAGGCATACATTTTGTAATAATTTCATTCATCATGTTGTTCTAAATAATCACTTTTCTTATGTCGACTTTACTTTGAAGGGATAGGGTGATCAGGATTACACGCTCAAATCTGATTCTGTTCTTACGAATCCGTGCCTGTGCGCTCACAAAGGTTGACTTGCTGTAGTAGGTTGACCGAGTAGCGCTCAGAATTTTATTTTATTTATGCTCTTTCAAATCTTTAGTCATCCGTATACTTCCATACAGTGACAAGTGTTCAAGAGAATGAGCAAATCAAAGCAGGAAACCAGGCTGCCAAAGTACTCAGCCTGGTGCAGTGGGGTCTCCCCCATGCTGCTCACTTCCTCTGCTGAGTGGACGGAAGATCACCAAGTTAATTCTCATGTTGCATTGCTACTGCTGAGTGGGCCAGGATGAAAAAAAAAAAAAAAAGAAATAAAAATAGATAGCTCTTTTAGTTTTCTGTGGTACACCACTGACTATGAAGACCACACAATGAACAAAGATAAGTTCTCTATAAAGTGGTCAAATGCATGTATTGATATAACAGAAATATAAATATAACAGCTACTAAATGAACCTTGATGTGAGACTGTTTTGCTGTGTCCAAGGTCAAGAATGAACTTTAAAACTCAACTTGTGAGCCAGCGTGGATGAGATGTCCTTAAAGCACTCAAAGGAAATGGACAACTTGGCAGACTCCATCTACTGATGAAGAACAGTTTCTAAACGGATCAAGAAGATTCTATTGTTTTTTTGTGTGCGTGCATAAAAAAGAGGAGTAACATAAACATAATATGAGTATACAATATACAATAAATGCCCACATGTGCATGTTAGATTATTGGACAGATTAAAGTTGCAGTAGGTAACTATAAAAGCAAAATAAGATAAATAAACCATATTTTTTTTGTCATATTTGCTGAAACTTTCCCTGAAGCTGATTGTTTCACAGATTAGCTGTCTGTCATGTACTACTGTCAGGATATAGTGAAAGTTTCAGTGGATGTACAAAAGTTATTTCCATAAAAGTTACCTACTGCAGCTTTAATGCCAGTAAATGTAGAGGGGAGTAGCTTTAGAACAGTTTAAGATTCAAAAACTGGCCAGATATGAGATTACTCTGCCTCCTGTACATATTGTGGTTGGCATCCCCTGCCAGTGAAGCATCGGCCCCCCTAAAACTGTAATGTAAGATGAAATATTGGCTCTGTGTTCTTTCAGACTGGCTGCCTTTCCAGGTACAATTATGGGATCAAGAATACATTTTTCAC